ACTAGTTAAATAATCGAATGTTTGAATCAAATAAATTTAAAAAATTTTTTCTTTTTTTTTAAATTTTTTCAGTGCAATGAGTTATAATTATTTCAATTAATTTAAATTATAAATAACCAAAGAACGTGGCGATTAGAAAAATTATAAAGTTCAGTAACCTAAGTAGTAAAAACCTTACAGATGGGGGACCAAATAGGAGACACGAAAGTATAAGGGACGACAGTAGTAAAGATCCGGGCCTATCGGGCAAGTAGAAAAGCGTACATTATAGTCAGACTCAATGCCTTTTGATAAGGACAACTAAACGCCTCGTAATTTGATCTTATTCTTATGTAACGGCTTTTTTTTTCTTTCAAATTTCAAATCGCAAACCTCCGCTGAACTAAATAAAATTCAATATTTACAAAATCTATACCCAAAATATCGAATTTTTTTTCACCTTAATAAATTTTCTCCCTTTTTTCAGTATTCCATCACAAAAAAATTATCTCTATCAAAAGAAATAAATTATAAAACAATTTTCTATCGAATTAAGGAAAAATTTACCAAAGAGTAAAAATAATGAATCTAAACGCAAAAAATGCAAACTTTTCTTATAAATGAAAAATTAAATTTTCATTCTAGAAATTCAGACAAAAAGATATTCACAAAAAGTTTAATTTTTGGAGAAATTTTTTTCTGCGAGAAATATATTTTTTTTTTTGTTTTTAAATAGAAATTTTTTTTTTTTGTTATTTTGGTTTTTCTTTTTTTTTTTGTGCAAATTCGCCATGTTACTTTTGAACGAAGAAATGTGACTTTAGACTTTGGTATAGGCCGTGTGGACACACAAGCAAGTCGAGTTGAGAGGCGCGGACGGGCGGTCAGAGACCCCGCAGGGCCGCGCAAACACTACAGCATTTCCCACTCACTCTTTGCAAAGTTCCATCTTACAATCTGGACCCAACAATATATGTACAATACACTTTCCTTAACAATACCTGACAAAAATAAAAAAAACGAAAAAAAAAAAAAAAAAATTCTCACAAAACCAATTACAAATAAATAAAACGATTTATCGCTTAACCAAACTTTCATTTTTTTCAAAAATCCGATTATTTCTATTTAAATTTAAAAAAATTTACTTTTTCCAAAATAAAAAACATTCATTCAAGCTATAAAAAAAACTTCCAAATTGTTCAAAGTAAAAAACAAAAAAAAAAAAAAATTCGAAAATATTCGAAAATTAGAAAAAGAAATTATGAAAAAATGTTTATAATAATAAAACGAGTAGATTTCTCAATACATCATCGCCAGAAAGTTGTCCAAAGCCTATAGCAATCTTTCTCATGTCGACCCTGATATTCCCTCGCACACACATATATATATATATATATATATATATATATATATATATATATATATATTCGGTTACGCAACTCTCGACGGTATTCTCCAAAACGACCTTAAGACCATTTTTTCTCACTTTCAACTGAATTCTCCCCTCCCTCACCTGTCCCTTTTCTTCACTAACGAAATTTTATTTTCACAAAAACCAATATATGAAAATTTCAATGTAAAATATTTATTTTCTATATTTAAAATTATAAGAATATTTTTTTTAAATAGAACGAAATATTTTAAAAAGAAGGTTTCAATCGATTGACATAAAAAAAAAGTTGTTTTTAATAACAAATAAATTAATTAATATAATTATAATAAATAAATAATTATTAATAAATAATTAAATATAATTATAATAAATAATTAATTATTAAATGTAATTATAATAAATAATTGATTATTAAATAAATTAATTTCATCAAATTTTGAAAGATTAATGTACAATTTACAAAAAAAATATTTTAAACCAAAATTTGTTAAATAATATGTTTTTTAATAATAAAATAATAATGTTTTTTTTATATTTTATTAACAATTTTTTTTTTTCAAAATGAACAAATAAAATTTTTGTCTTTATATATTATTTAAACCAAATTTAATAATTTAAATTAATTAATTAAATTAAATTAAATTAAATTAATTTAATTAATTAATTAATTTAATTTAAATTTAATTTAATTTTTTAACCAATATTTAACAAAAACTGTCAAAGAGAATTGCAGAAAAACTTTCAAAGAGAGAAATTAAAATTTGATGATAAAAATTACAAAATTTTTCACTAACTTCAAACCAAAAATACACAAAAAAAAAGAATAAATAAATTTTTTTTCAATAAATTTTGGCTTAAAATAATTTTTTGTTTGTAAATCCAACAATCTTCAAAATTTATTAAATTCAATTTTAATTATACTTCGTGTTTAAAACCTAACAAGTGCGCCTCAATATTATTATTTATTACTTGAATAAGTATTATATAAAAATAAAGAAACAAAAAAAAAAGTAAAAAATAGAAAAATAAATCTATAATATACAAATAGTAATAAAAAAAACATACGCACTGAAAAAACAAATTTATTCTACTCAAATAATCAGTTACTTGACTATTATTGAAATAAATATTTATTTGTATCAAATAAATATTTACTTGTATCAAATAATTATTATTATTTGTAACAAATAATTATTATTATCTGTATCAAATAATTATTATTTGTATCAAATAAATATTTACTTGTATCAAATGATTATTATTATTTGTTTCAAATAAATGTTTATTTGTATCAAATAAATAATTATTTGTATCAAAAAATTATTATTTGAGCCAATTAAATGGTATTCGTTTCAAATACAAAAATTATTGATTCAAATAAAAATTATTTGGTTCAAGTAAATATTTATTTGATTAATACTCAAGTAACCGATTATTTGAATCAAATAAATTTTTTTTTTTTAGTGTATAAAAAAAATGTAAATTATCCGAAAAATATTGATTCCAGTAGAAAAATAATAATTTCATTGTAAAACAATGAATAATTTTTAATTTTTGTTATCAAGATACAATACGAATTGTCGCGGGAAAATTATGTGTAAATGTTTTCATCGTTATCGTGGAATATCATTAATTCTTTCTTTCTTTTTTTTGATGATTTAGGAATTAGTTGAACCTCGTGGGACTTTATCATGACTTTATTTTTGTAGAGATATCAGCGATTTATATATATATATATATATATATATATATATATATATATATATATATATAAATATATAGTGGAATTGAACAGTATTTAATCCTTTCGACTTCAAGGCTGCTTTCAAGTAACACGATTTATCAAGTTTTTTTATATATATATTTATAATATCCCCTCGCCCTTATCTATAAATCACGACAAATATATATGTATAAACTCAATTTACTCGTAAACTGACATTATGCAATAAAGTACTCTTAGTTAATAATTTATAATTCTTTTTTTTTTTTTGCACTCCTATTTTAAAAACATGCAGAAAGTCATGTCACGAAATTAAAAAATAAATTTTCTGCAAAAAAAAAGGAAAAATCGATTCTAATAATTTTCACTGGAAGCATAGAAAAAAAAAAAAGCTTTATTGGAAAAAAGTTTTTATCTTCCCCTATATTCTTAAACCTATTTTCTCTTATTTTTTTCTTTCCAACTTTTTAAAAATATTTTCTCTGAAAAATTCATTTTCTGCTTCCAAATAATTGTACAATTTTTTGTATCGATTGGTGTAAAAAAAAAAGAAAAAAAAAAAATTAATACTGACTCACCAATTATCCATAAATCCATAACTTGTGAAAAACTCCAATTTCTTCTTTTTCCAAAACGTCAAGGAAATCGAAAATGTTTTAATTGCACATGAAATCCTTTTTTAAAAATGCACCAATTCTTTTTCTTTTAAATTGCACTATTTTTCACTGAAAAATCACAAATTCAAATGTTCAAAAAACAAAAATTCACAAATTCTATAAGTCTAGAAAAAATAGTTGCTTTTTTTTTGAATCGCACAAGTCTTATTTTAATTCTTAAAATCTAAGGGAAAAATGAAGGCTAGAAGATTGTTTATGATTACGTCAAAGTTGAAGAAAGGGGAAGAAAAAGGCAAAGAGTTGTGTGTGTGTGTGGCACGTGGTTTTGCGGCGACACTTTGGGGCTTTGCCGAGCCACGCGTGTCGTGTGCTTGTAAACGCGCGTTCGACTGAGAGTCAAACTACTCCCGAGTCCCTGGATTCGTTCTTCTTGCACGTTCTGCGCCTCTCCCTTTCTCTCTCTCTCTCTCTCTCTCTCTCTCTCTTTCGCTCTCTTTCTCTCTCGTTGCTATTTTTCTATCTCTTTCTTTCTTTTTCCCCTTTCTCCCTCATTCGCGTACTATTCGCGACCCTTCTTTCTTTACTCGTGCCTCTCTCCTTTTTTCTCTAACAATTAAATCCATCAGCACTTTTCCCCAACAACTCTTTCCTTTCTTCCCTTCTTTTCACTTCTAGCTTTCATTTTTCTCTAGAATCTATTATTACAATAACAATCTCATTCTTTTGATTTGATTCTTAAAAAAATAAATTCTTTAATTTTGTAATCAATAAATAATATTCATACACTAATAATTTTTAAATCAATCATTTTTAAACTAAAAATAAAGTGAAACAAAAAATGATAAAGGAAGAGCAAACTGGATTGAAATTTTTAGAAAAAAAAATAATTCCAGTAATTTTTAATCACTAAGCAGGTATTTGGATTAAATAAATCCTAGTGCTTTTTTTAATTCTAAAATATTTAAACTTTATTTACTTAATTATTTTAACTATTAATTATTATTTAATCAATTAATTTATTAATTAACAATTATTATTTTACAATAATAATTATTAATGAAAAAAAAAAGTTACAAACTGCATTAATTTTTTTTTTCGTCGTTAAAATGAAGTTATCCGAAATTTGCAGTTAAAAAATTCGTTTTTTATAATTTTTTTTTCTTTTTTTCTTAAAAAATTTTATAAAAAACGAATTTTCGAAAGAAAAAAAAAATTCCTTTTGTCCATTGCCTTCATCATTCTTTGCATCCTATAAATGGTAATTTACCTTCACTTTATCTCCATGTAGTTTTCTTTCTCTTTATTTTTTTTTTTTTTTGGGACGAAACCAGCAACTCTTGCGAACGAACGAGATAATAACTTGTACGTGCCATAACTTCCTTTTGAGGCAGGTTAGGATGCTGAACTTAGGTATTAGGTTTCGGCATTGGTATAAACAGACTTTTTTCCGGTATTCGAGAACTCGGCATTTTTTTTTTTTTTTTCATCAATCCATTTTCAAACCACGCAGCTAATTTCTGAATCATATAAACGTTGAACCTCCTTATTTAATCCAACGATGTCTCCAAATTATTTGCCTAAAAAAAAAGATTACAAACAATTATTTAATTCTAAATATTTAATTATAAACAAATAATAATTATTAATAATTAAGAATTATTATTAAAAATAGTTTTTACAAAAAAAAATAGTATTTAATATAAAAAAAATATATTTAATAAACAATTTATTTAAATTAAAAAAAAAAAAGATTATCATTGGACATTGTTTTGGGTACATTTCCGTGTTACCTTCAATATTAAAACTCCAATAAGTCTATCTTAGAGAAAACGCGACAGAAACGATGCAATCAAAGATATTACCTGATAAAGACAAGGGCGAGGCCTGATGTCGTTGTTTACAACTTGAGGCAATAAAATCATAGAACAAAGGTTAATCAAGAAAATACTTTGCACTCGAATATCAACTAAAACTTGACCAAAACTAACGTTAAATTAATAAAAAAATATCCAAAATATAATTTTGCTCATACAATTTTTTAAATGTTTTTATTTATTAAGTTGGCGGAGGTTTCTTTTTTTTTCTACAAAGTCAGGGTGATCATCATCATATTAAAAAAATATTTGAATGCTGAAACAATTTAATGAGAAGGAAAAAAAAAATCATAACAGAACCAGGATGTTATAAATTGCGAATAAGTGACGCAGAAAGGAACCTCACTTCATCGCAATTACAATAGATCGACTAACATGTCTGCTACAGATATAGTATAAGAACCAAGGATAAATTAATTTACTGTGAAATACGACGCATCGCGCGAGAGGTGTAAGTATAATCCCAACATACCTTCCCTATCCCACCTCTGATGTATATATACACCACACCACGTTTCTTTAATGCTTTCCCTAGTTACACACCGAGAGGAGAATTTATTCCAGCAAATAATGATTTACCCACCCATGTGAACCCATAATACCTTTCTTCCTCATTCAACCACAAATATTTATATATCTACCTGTGCAAAATTCAAAAATCTTTCATATCATTTATCAAAAAATTTCCTTTTCCTTTCATTTGAATTTCTTTTTTTTTTTTTTTTAGTCTATTACCTTGAAAAACTAGAAATCAAAATTAATTATTACAGAAAATTGTACTTTTATTTCAAATTAAAAATTAAAATTTTGTAATTATTGAAAATTGAAATATAATTTTCTAAAATTCAATTAAAATTTAAATTTCGAATTTTCAAAAAAAATAAAATAGAAGCGTATTAATTTATCATAAAGAAAACATTAAATAGAATTTTAAAGTATTTCATTTTAATTATTTTTTAAACGAATTTTCAATTAAAATTTGGACAGATTTTTCTTTTTATACGAATTTTTGGATAATAAAATTTTTAGCTACCGAATTTTTGCCAGAATTTTTATTTTAGTCATTTAATTTACATGACTTTTTATTTAAAATGAATTTCAATTTAATCGAATTTTAATTCAACAGAATTCTCATATTCAATTGAATTTTATGTCATTCGAATTTTTAAAATGACAAAAAATTCCATTCACCGAATTTCTAATTTGTCCGAATTTTTATTTATACGAATTTTTAAGACACCGAATTTTCATTTGTTCGAAATTACAAAATAATCGAACAAGTAATCGACAAATAAAATTACGCCAAAATCTTTTTTTTTTTTTGTAATTTCGGAAAAATAAAAATTCGGTGTCTTAAAAATTTTATCAATTAAAAATTCATAGAAATAAAAATTCAGACAAATTAAAAATCGGTGAATGGGAATTTCTGTCATTTAAAAAATTCGAATATTACATAAAATTCGATTAAATGAGAATTTTGTTGAATTAAAATTCGCTTAAATTAAAATTCATTTTAAATTATTATTATTCGGTAGCTAAAAATTTTATTATGTAAAAATTCGTATAAAAAGAAAAATCTTTCCAAATTTTAAATAGAAAATTTGTCTAAAAAATAATTATATCGAATAAAATTTTTAAAAATTCTAATTTATTATTTTTATGGAATAATCATGCGCCCCTTTATTAAAATTAAATTGAAAAAAACGTTTAATTTTTGATTAAATTTCTAAATGATTAAAAAAAAGTTCTAACAATTTTTTTGTGGAAAAACTAATTTATAAAAGTATGAAAATAAAACCTAATCTACTTTGGAATAAAATACGTTTTTAAACGGTACAAAATGCATATGAATATTTGTGAATGAGAGAAAAAAAAGTATTAAAAGAAATTAGAAAGAAAGGGAAATTAGAAAGAAAAATACTTCCTACATATATTTGATGTTTAAATTATGCATGACTGATAAACCAGAACACTCAACTCCGCAGAAAATGGAAAGTAATGAATCAGAATCTGACGTAATATCAAATTACAATTTTTCAATCTCATCCATCATTGCGCCTTTTTATCAATCAAGATCAAATTCCAATTTGAACAAAATGGAATGCGAAAATTTAAAGCAAAAAAAGAAATTTCCCAAAATAATAAAACGAAAAAAAAATTCTAACAAAAATAAATACAAATTGAAACGAAAATAGTTATCAATTTTCGAAAAAATACAAAAGCTTGAAGAAAAAAACGAAAGTTTCAATATCAAAAAGTAATTTTTTTGGTAATTTTCAAAAATACCAAAAGGTAATCAAAAAATGCAATTTTAGAAATAGAAAATAAATTTCGGATAAAGAAAAGAAAATACAAAAAATAAAAAAACGAATACAAAAATAAATACTAATTCAAACGAAAAATTTCAGTTATCAAAATAATTTTCGGAAAAATACAAAAGTTTGCAGACAAAATACAAAAGTTTTAAGTTTCAATACCAAAAGTAATTTTGGTAATTTTCAAAAATATCAAAAGGTAAACAGAAAAAGAAATTTTAGAAATAGAAAAGAAAAAAACAAAAAATAAAAAAACGAATACAAAAATAAATACTAATTCAAACGAAAAATTTTAGTTATCACAAAAAATTTTGGAAAAATACAAAAATTTCAATACCAAGCGTAATTTTTGGTAATTTTCAAAAATACCAAAATGTAATCAAAAAACAAAAATTCAGAAATAGAAAAAATTTTCGAAAAGGAAAAAGGAAAATACAAAAAATTAAAAAACAAATACAAAACTAAATGCAAATTCAAACAAAAAATTTCGGAAAAATACAAAAGTTTCAATACCAAAAGTAATTTTTTGGTAATTTTCAAAAATACCAAAAGGTAATCAGAAAAAGAAATTTTAGAAATAGAAAAAATTTTTGAAAAGAGAAAAGAAAATACAAAAAATAAAAAAACGAATACAAAACTAAATGCAAATTCAAACAAAAAATTTCGGAAAAATACAAAAGTTTCAATACCAAAAGTAATTTTTGGTAATTTTCAAAAATACCGAAATGTAATCAAAAAACGAAATTTTAGAAATATAAAAAATTTCGAAAAGGAAAAAGGAAAATACAAAAAATTAAAAAACGAATACAAAACTAAATGCAAATTCAAACAAAAAATTTCGGAAAAATACAAAAGTTTCAATACCAAAAGTAATCTTTTGGTAATTTTCAAAAATACCAAAAGATAATTAGAAAAAAGAAATTTTAGAAATAGAAAAAAATTTCGAAAAGAGAAAAGAAAATATAAAAAATTAAAAAACGAATACAAAAATAATTTGAAAAAACAAAATTTTTGTATTTAACAAAATAATAAATAAAAAATAATTAAATTTGAAAATGTGAATCCTAATGAAAATGGCAGTAAGTGAAATCGATTGTTTTGCGTGCAAATCATTTATAAAAAATGACGAGTATGTGAAATATATATATATATATATATATATATAATTTGGAAGATATTATTCACAAAAAAAAAAAAAAACGAAAATAATTTTTCTCCTTCTTTTTTTTGTGACAAATTTTCTCGTGACGTCAAAAATGAAGGTGTTTCGCTTAAAGAAGTTGGTACTGAGAGGATGAGAGAGAATGAGGAGGTGGAGGCACACAGGTTCACTTTTGCCTGAGCATATACCCGTTCGTTCACCCTAGCGGGGGCACCAACCTGGCTTTACTTCAGTTACTCGCGCGCGCTGAGAGAGCCGGCGCAATGTACAGGGTTACCATAAAGTAACTTCCCCACCTCGATGCACAATATCTTTCTCTCTCTCTCTCTTTCTGTAACGGCACATCGCGGCTAGTTGAAATTTCAGAGCGCGCTATCTTCAGGATTATTCCTCATAAAAGTGCAACCCTGAGGTTAAAAGGGATAGAAAAGAGAGAGAGAGAGAGAGAGAGAGAGAGAGAGAGAGAGAGAGAGAGAGAGAGAATGCCCTATCAAAAAATGCAATTTCACAAATTTTTCCAAATATCTCATCTCAAAATGAAAACTTGCAAAAAAAAAATTTTTTTTCGATCATGGTAAATTGAATTTTTGAATTAAAAATATTCCTTTTTTTAAACAATTGTATTTTAAATATTTTACAAAAAATTACTAATTTATTAAACATAATTTTTTCCATTCTCATAAAAAAAAAAAAATCGAAAATTAATTAAAAATTCATCGAATAAAAAAATGTAAATAAAATATACAATTTTCGAAATGTAAATTTTCTTATTTGCAAAAATTCTTGGTGATGTTATTAGAAGAATTTAAATTGCGGAAATTTTTTTCTCTCTCTCTCTCTCTCTCTCTTTCTTTTATTATGTTAGAAAATTAGATAGACGCCTAATAAACTTTTAAGTTTGCAGGTTGGAAAGTTACTCTGCAGATAAACCTGTATGCAGGCAAACATACTCTTCTCTTCGTGTATGCCTAGTATAGGCAGTATACCACGCAGTGTACTGAGTGTCCAGGTCGAGCAGATGCAATTCCACAGCATTTTTATTTTTATTTTTTTTTATCAAACAGCCGGGAAGCAAGAGAAAGGAGAGAGAGAGAGAGAGAGGATCTGCCACGATATAGAATTGAAGAGAGTTTGTGAAAGAGGAAATTCAAATAGAAATAGATAAGAGAGACACAAAAGAGTTTCAAATCATTTCATATAAAAAGAGTCAATGAACTTTTTATAAAATAGAGAAACATTGGCTATTAAATTACACATATGAAACAAAAGCTATGTAAAATTGATAAAAAAAAAAATGTACAATAAACGTAAATAATGTCCTAGTATATATAATATTAAAAAAAATAAATTTAATTAATTTTTTATTTTATTTATTTTATTTTATGCATAAATTACCTAAATGACTAAAATTTTTATTTTGAACTATAGAAATTTAAATTTTTATATTTGTCATTAGAAATAATTAAATAATTATTTATTTATAATAATTTAATGTTTATTCTTTAATTGAATTGCAAATTTTATAAATTTTAAATTAATTTTATTAATAATTATTTATTAATAAATTAATTATTCATTAATAATAAATAAATAATAAAAATAATAATAATAATAATTAAAAAAATATTTATAAATAAATAATAATTAAATGATATTAAATTTGATTTGCATTTGATTATTTTAAACTTTAAATATATGTGAAGGAGAATTATTTAATTTTTAAATTTATTTTTCCAAGACATCAAAAAATGAAAATAGCAAATTCAACTCAAAATTAGAATAGAAAAATAAAGGTCTGTTGACTCGGTGAGTCACTACAAAAAAACGCTGATTAATTAAAAGACATCGTTTTGTTCTATCAAAAACAAATTTAAATGTTTGGAAACTAATATTAAAAGAATCAATTAAAATCTAATTTTGTCCTTAATATTAAAAGTTGAATTTTGTTTATTTTTTTATATTATAATATAATAAAAAAAAACGTACTAAAAATTCCAAAAAATTTACTATTGTAAAAAACGATTATTAGAAAATTTTTAATTTCATGAAAAATTTGTAACAAAAATTGAAAATTTCAAATGAATTTCAGAAATTTCAATAAATTTCCAAAACATTTAGATTTAATTTGTAATATTTAAATATAGAAAAAAAATTTTTAAACAAATTCAACTTTTTTTTCCAAAAAAATTAATTCAAATAAATAGTATTTGTTTTTTTTTAAATTTTAGTTAATTAATAATTATGTATTAATTTTTATCGGAATGTTATCTAATTTATTGTTTGTCAATTAATTTTTTTTTTTTTTTTTGTATAATTATTTATAATTTTTAAAATAAAAAAATAAATGATATTTACCATTCTTATGGAGACAGTTTCGGTGCCAGTTTCTGTGGGACTTGATCTTTGTTGTTGATGTGAATAACTGACATCCATATCCATTTCGTCTAATTCCTCTTCCTCTTCTTCATGAGTGTCTGATTCTTCTTCCTCCTCACCCTCACCTTCTTCCTCTTCTTCCTCCTCCTCCTCTTCCTCAGATCCACGAAACTAAAAATAAAAATCTAATTACTCTCTCAAAATTATATTTTAAAATTTTTTCCTTTAATTCTCACAAAATTACTATTTCATCAAAATTATATTTTAAAATTTTTTCTGTTTATTTATAAAAATTAATTTTGAGCTTATTTTGTTTTACAAATTGATGCCTCACTTTTGTAATTTCCAAATATATATATATATATATATATCATTTATTTTTTTTGTTAAAAATTTTGAGGTTATACTGACAAAATTTGTCATCACATTGATATTACGTGAAAAGAATATTTCCTAATTCAATTATAGAATATTTTCTAATTCAATTATAATTAAAAATATTAACCATATTATTTTATATTCATCAAAAAAATTTCACCGAAAAAAAAAATTTAATCTCGAAAAACCAGTGACACATTTAACCTATATTCAAATTATTGACGTTGAATAATTAATTTCTATATTTTTATTATTTATTTCAATAATTAATCATATTTCTTACCTAATGAACACACACACACACTTCAAGAAATTATCACAATTAACTCGATAATTATACACGAAATAAATAAAATAAACGGTAAGAATGTCTGAGAAATTCCGCCAATGAAAAAACATTAACATTATTTTTTTAAATATTAACGGTTTTTTGCATAGAAATTCCACCCCTGTTGGTATGCAACCCGGCATGCAAATCAATTTCCAATGAATTTTACATTTTTTTAAGACAATTTACACAATTTAAATTGATAATTTATTTAAATAACAAAGTAATTATAACTTATTTTTCATTTTAATAATAAATTTATCAATATTAACACCTGAAATATGTAAAATAAGATAATAATGACAAAACTTACATCTCTCGCGTCTTTGCCAATTGGAACATTTTCAGAGCCCTCAGATCGTATTTGTTCTCGCTGAAAATTTATAAAATTGTTAATAAACGTTAATAAAAATGTAAACATAATTTTTTAGTAAAATTGCAAAAAAATAAGGCAATATACCCAATGCTGATGTTCCAACTCGAGTGCGGCGACTTCACTTTCGTCGTCAATGGGTCTGTCAGCATTAAACCATAATGGATCTGTTGACCTTGGTTGTAGATTTGGCCATAGGGGCATAAACGACATTGTTAAACTTTGATTATTAATTAGAAATTCACAGAAATATGCAAAAATTTAACACACCAACGTAACAATGACCGCCATTATTAAACAAGTCTGATTTACTTCTTTGCGCATGCGTGAAGTTTGTCGAGTTAGCCACCTGGTGGGAAAAACAAGAAGTATAAAATTTGAAAATTACCGCAATTATTATTACATTTTTAATCGAATTTTTAATTAGAAAAAGAGAAAAAAGAGTTTAAAAAACGATTGAAAAAAAATATTAATATCCCAAACATTTCGAATTTTACTAACGTTTATTAAACATTTACAAGTAGTTTTCGAAAACATTTTTTGTTTCTAACCTCTTCGTAATAACAATATGATGAAAGTGACAGTTTGGACAGTACTCCAAAAAAGTAACATACATTTGACACTGTTCTTGTATAATTAATTTATTTATTTTAATAAAGAAAGAGATTTTATCGATTGAAATTTATATGAATGACCATAAAGTGGCACTATCTTACGGTTTTAAAAGGAAATGAAGAATTTACGTCACGTGTTCTGAAAGCAAAGCTGAAAACTTCTGTGTTAGATCTCTTGGATTGCTCTTGATGGTGGCGATGGTAAAAGGGTAAAAGGAAAGTAGCTATGAGAAGTTTATTAATGGGTCGCCGAGACGTTGCTTAATCGTGAACAGTGACGGTTTGGAAGTTGTAGATTCCTGAGGTTCTAATCATTTAAACTCAATATACCCTTCTTGAACAAAACAGCGTGACATAACCTCTAACTTTGAAAAGGTGAGTCTAATTTTGTATACAATATGTATTTAAAAAAGAACATTATAATTTCTTAAATTCGGTTTTTTTTTAAATATTATCTTTCCTCTTATCAAAGTCTTTGGTATTTAGGTTGTTCTACTATTAAAAAAAAAAATAAAAAAACAAACTCCTAAACTATTATCTACAGTGACTTTTGCAATTTTATCATCAGCACTTATTTCAGAAGATAAATTTATCACAAAAGATGAAACATTTTGTTTTATAAATTTTAATATTTAGTTGTTTTTGCTTATTTTCTGTTTTTCAATTGATAATGACATTTTTCTTCTTTTTTGTTTTGTTCATTCTTTTTACTGTCAATTTACTGCCCTAATTAAATCTATTTTTGATTTATATTAGCAAATTATTATTTTTAATTTAAAAAATATTTAATTTTCTATAAATGTAAAAAATCAAAATTTATTTCAACTACATTAATTCCGTTTTGTAAATATGTATTTTTTATTTTAGTTTTTAATGAATAAATTATTTTATAAATTGTATAATATTTGTATATAAACACATGTATGTTATACAATTGACTAAAGAAATTTAAATGGCAAATTATTTCAGTTTTCTTTGCAATTTAAAATTATTCATTCGATAAAAAAAAAGAAAGTGAAAGTGTTTTAGAGTTCCAAATATTTAAGTTTTACCTCATATATAATATTAATTATGAAGCGAAATTTTATTAATTACATCAATTAAATTTAAAATAATTTATTATTTTCAAATATCAGTAAAATATATTATTATTAATCTATAAAAAAAACATAAAATTTGTCAAATTTAGTAAGACTAAAAATAATATTAGTCAGCAAAATGTATTTATCTTGTTCATATCTGTAGAATAAATTTAAGATAATATTGTATTTAGCATTTTTTTTTCTTACAAATTAAATATTTCCTTGCGTATAAAATGCTTACAAAACATATTTTATTTTTAAGAAATGATTAAAAATTGCTTTAAAAAATTTTTAAAGGTATATATATATAAAAATATTTGATAATCTTTTTTCGTCTGGGTACAAAATAATTGGAACTAATTTGACAGAGTCATTGATACAATTGAAACCAATGAAGAATAGGCTAAGGATTAAATTTTCCATTAAAAATTTCAACATTGGATTTACTCACACTGATAATAAAATTTAATTATAAAAAATGTCATTTTGAATTTAAAAAATAGAGCAAAATTTTATTATTATTTTTATTTTGCACTATTATTTTTTATATTCCCCAAGTTTTTAAATTTCAAAAGTCATTTTAAAAAAAAATTATGTTCTCATAATATCTTCTGTGCGACTTTATCGATCTGTTTTCAGAAGATTGTGGGGAATTTCAATAACACGAGTGCCTGAAGCGAAGGGAATTCTTTAATAAAAAAAAAAAAAAAGTAATTCTCAGAAAGATCATTATTATGAAAATAATTACCGTTGTTTAATATTATTTTATTGAATAAAAGCATTTTATATAAAATAAAATTTTAAATAAAATAAAATAAAATTTAATTAAAATTAGAGTAACAACAAAATTATATCTGTCAAATTTTTGCGGTATCAACATTAAACCACAAAAACGTTTAACCATTTCTTCCTGTTTATTATATATTTTAATAAATAAAAAATAAACTTGCTGATCAATTATTACTTTATCAAAAAATAAATATTTGTTTAAATTATATATTTAGACAATAATAAGGAAAAATAAAATATATATTATAATATATATATATATATTAATACAATAAAATAGTTAAATATAAATAGTGAAAAATAAAAAAAAAATAATAATAATAATTTTATATTATAGTTTTGAATAATAAGCGAAAAATAATTTACTCAAGATTTATAAACAAGTGTTGAATTTCTAGAGAAAAAAAAAATTGTTATGTAATTTAATATCCATCAACTTTATAGTTCATTAAAATTTATTTTTATTAATTATTTCTAATAAGTATACAAAAAAAGTAACAAAAAAAAAATTATTTGAAACTGTTTTGTTAATTATTATTTAAAATTTATTTAAACAATTTTACCGTAAGTGAAGAAAAAATTATTTAATTGTCTCTAGAATGATGAGACCTTGAAAAACCGGATTTTATTGCATCTCAGATTTGTTGCTCAAAAATTTATTTTAATTTAACTTGAAAATTTTGTAATAGAATAAAAAAAAAAAAAAATTGGCTGAAATTAACAATAATTTTGTCTAATTTTTTTTTTTTAAACTAAAAATTGGCCTTGGTATTAGGAAACATATACGACGTGAAAGATTATTTACTTAGATTCTATACTTTAGAAAGTCTATATACTGATACTTTTTTTTTTTGCTGATAGTAACATTTCCTTTCTTTTTGATTCGAAATACAAGTACCGTTCAGTTATTTTAACGTTTTATTTTATTTATTTATATTTTGTTTTAATTATTTTTGTTTTTTTTTTATTTAAAAATTAAAATATTTGACAATTATTGTCACAGTAGATTTAGAAATATTCCTTTTGGAATTTTTTTCCATTTAAATATCATTAAAATTACTCATTTATTATCGATTTCATCATTGGAATAAATAATTAATTAAATAATACATTGCTTTTTTTTGTGTGTATTATTACACAAAAAAATCATATAAAAAAAAACAAAAAAATATATTTAAAATCAGAATTAAACTCTAAATTAGTTTTACTCTGTTAAGTAAGGAAGTTGTGAGTTAGTTGAGTTAACGGTTCAACATACATCACGAATGGATGGTTCGCCTGTAAATATATTTTTCATATTTATAACATGAAACAAGATGTGCGTGCAAAATTACAAATTTTTCAATTTTTTTCGAATTTTTTTTAATGATCATTAATTTTTACAAAATTGTTTAAAAATTTAATATATATTTTTATTTTATTTATATTATTTATTTTTATTTTATTTATTTTATTTTATTTATATTATTTGTTTTTAATTTATTTATTTTATAGACGGGAATTTTCATAATTATTTATCCTTGAGGAGGAAAATTCCATTTCGTTTATCCATAATGCGATAAAAATTATCATAATAAATTTCCAAAAATGTTAAAAATTAAAAAAAAACATTGTTATTAACGTTAACTAACTTTTCGTTAGTGACTTTCCGTCAGTCTCGAGGTTAATTTAAATAAATTTAGATTTTATTATAATATTTCGAAATTCTAATTATTAATTTTATTTCGCAGATGTCTCATAATCATATGTTGCACACATTAAATTCTTCCGACGGTCATATGGATCATATGGATCATGGAGGCCATGGTAATCATATGGATCATGTAGATCACAGCACAATGGATCACAGTGGTCACCAAATGTCCGGAAATGGTGGTCATTCAATGCACGGAATGATGATGATGGTAAATATAATTTAATTATCAAAAATATTAATTTAAAAACCATTTAGCGTTTAAATTCTTTACATATTCATAATTTTTTTTAAAAAAATAATTCTTAATTATAATTAATAATATTAATTTATTTATTATTATTAATATTAATTTATTATTATTATTTGAAATAGTACTTTCACGGTGGATATAGTGAAACAATTTTATTCGAATCATGGAAAATTTCATCAATCGGCGGTCTCATAGGTTCCATCATTGGAATAATTATAATGGCTGCTCTCTACGAAGGCCTTAAATATTATAGAGAATACCTTTTCTGGAGAACGTACAATGCACTTCAATATAGAAGTGTTACAATGCCACAGGAAAAGAATGTCGTCGCTGAGGATAATCGTGTTGTACAGTAAGTTTTTATTTTTTTTTTTTTTGTTAACATTTATTAGGAAAGAAAAAAAAACAATTCAAAAATCTAATACCGATGAATTTACGGATGATTTTCTAATTTTATCTTTCCAGTATGGTCGGTGAGGTTATCCATAAACAACCGTAAGTAATTTCAAAGTGAAACAAATTCTGTTGGGAAAATTTCGTTTTTCAAATCAAAACTATTTCTCTTTTATTCTTCTTGCACAATTTTTTCCCCCTCTATTATTATTATTGATTTCATTTCTAAATAAAATTCAAATTGAATAATTGATTTTTGCAATTTTCAAAAGAAAAAATAAATTCAAATATTTTGGTCTTATTCTTATTTATAATTTATAATATTCTCTGCAAAAATTAATCAGCCCTTTGTAAATATTTCTCCTCTTGTTTGGCATTTTCTTTCTATTTCTTTTGACAATTTTCTTTCTTGAATAAATTGTTAATTTCTTTTTTTTTCACAGGCCAACAATGCTGTCTTGGATGCACACATTCCAAACATTTTTACATATCATCCAAATTGTTCTCTCTTACTTTTTGATGTTGATCTTCATGACATACAACGTATGGTTGTGTTTTGCTGTTGTATTAGGAGCTGCCATTGGATATTTTCTTTTTGGTTGGAAGAAATCCGTTATTGTTGATGTTACGGAACATTGTCATTAAAGAAGAAAAAATAGTACGCAGAAAAAGTAAAACAAGTTCCTACCAGTGGAATATGCAAGTATTCTTTTTTTTTTTTTTTTAAAGAAAACCAAACGAAAAAAATGAATACTTTATAGTGTTAATATTAAATTATAAATAGTTGTTTGTCATAAAGAAAATAACACAATTTACGTTATTTTTGGTTACTTTTTTTTTTAAATTATCATCGAGATTTTAAAAACTTATCGAAATTTAATTTTAACAATATCGCTTATTTATTTTGTCAAACGCTTATAGGCGTTTAAATAAATTAAAAGACTACGTAAAAAATAGCAAACAATTTGCTATTTTAAAAATCAAAACACGACTAAAATTTTCTTAGTCTTGTAACTCAATTAATTCTTCCTCTAATTTTTCATGAGCGAAATAATTTTTGTATGTATGTCATTAATTTAAGTATAAAGTATTAAAAAAAAAACCAAGAGTTGATCTCTAAAAAGATATGTAAATATTGAAAAAACTTGTATACATTTTTTTTTGTAGACATATTTAGATTGCACATATTTTTAATTTAATCATTCGCTATTAATATAATTTTTTTTTTTTGTTAAAAATTGTTATTTGTTTTTAAAATTGTGTATTAAAGAATTTTTCAAAAAAAGAAAAAGAATACATATTTTTTATGTATTTAAATTGTAAAACTCGAGACGATGTATGTGTGTATGAACGTTTTTTTTGTGTGAGTTGTATTAAAATTGGATACAAAATGAGATTAGAAAATATATTTCTTGAGTGAAAAAAGCTTTTATTTATTTTCTTTTAATAAAGCGTTTAAAAATTTGTTCAAGGCATATAAATATACGTCGAGTGCTTTATATATATTTTGTTCGGAAATGAAGGGAATAATGACAAAGTCATGTATTTTTTAAAAGAAAGAAGAATAAAACTTAGGCAAGCAAAAAAAAAAATATCAAAATAAATACAATTAAATACATATAATACTTTTAAAAAAATTAATTAATACTAGCCAATTAAATAAATAGGCTTTCTTTTAATTAAAAATTTCCTTAAAAGAAAAATACTAATCAAATCACATTTAAAAATAATTTGGCATTTTTTTTTTTTAAATCGAATGATTTGAATTCAATTAATAAAGAAAAAAAATTAAAATCGACTAAAAAAGTTTTTCTTGCGAATAAAAAAATAAATAAATAAATATAGTTTGAAAATTAAAAAAAATTGAAAAATATAATTAAAATTATTCAGAACTTGTTATAGGCATACAGCAACTTGTTCTTTGAGGCGATTGTTGTTTAGATAAATCTACTGTATCGGTAACAATTGGACGTTCGATTTTGGCTTCAAGTTTCACCCAGGAAGCAACGGCGGCTTCAAATGCTTCCTGGACATTTATTGCTGTTTTCGCCGATGTTTCAACTAGAGGTAAATCTCCATTTTCCCTGCACCATATTTCGGCTTCTTCCCTCGTAACTTGTTTATTCGATTCTTCCATATCTACCTTCGGTGAGAAATTTATACAATTAACCCTCTTTTTTTAATTTTTAATTTTTAATTTTTAATTTTTAATTAATTATTCAATTTGAAAATTTTAAACGTGTATTTGAAATTAAGGTGTACCAACCTTAAAATATAAAATCTAAATACATAGTTGGTCACAATAAATTTAATAACTTTTAGTTTGGTAACCCTGTTGAAATTGATTGACAACTTCAGAGCAAACAATTGCAAAATGTCGTTACAAATTTGAACATGTGAAAAGCTTTTTTTTTTCTTAAATAAAATAAAGTTTTGTAATACCTTATTGCCAACAACAACAAATGGAAAGGATGAACCCTCTTGTATTCCGGCGTATAAAAGAAATTCCGATTTCCAAGAGGATAAATTGTTAAATGTATTTTTATCATCGACGGCGTAAGTTAAAAGGCAAATATCTGATCCTCTGTAAAAGGGAGTTCTCAGTGTTCGAAATCTTTCTTGACCGGCAGTATCCCATATTTGTAATGTATATCCTTCTCCATTAACTTCAATATCTTTATTTAAAAATTCAACTCCTATTGTATGATAACCGCACTGATTAAAATTATTCGAAACAAAACGATTCATCAGACATGTCTTTCCCACTAATCCATCTCCTAAAATCACAACTTTCAATAATGTTGTTCTTTGAATATTTCTATTTTGTAAATTTGTATTTCTTTGCGAACCCATTTTTTTTGGCACTTTTTATTTTTTTCTAATTAATCCTTGTGTCATATCAAATTTAATATTTCTCACCGATTTACTTGTTTAAATTTACATTATTTACAGAAAAATTGAGAGAAATTTATTTAAAGATTTTTGTTTTATATTTGAATAATTCTTGTATGAGATTCCGATCAATAATAAACTGGCGTACATAACCTCTCTGTTCTCTGAGTATCAGAGAGATTAATTCAAATTGTGATTCAATTATTGATTTACATTTGTAAATTTGAAAAAAAAATTTAGAGATATTTTTCCAAATTTATTGTAAATATATTTCAGTCACTTGCGGATGGGAAAGACAAAGATATTTGACAGATATATAATTTATTCACATGAGTCATCACACCACTGTTCAATATATTATTTTCAGTTAAAATTAATGATTAATATAACTTTTGATTTGAATTTTATGTTTTCTAAATAAAAAATACTATTGCACTACAAATGGCCAAAATTACAAGAAACTAATTACATGTTTGTCTCTTTTAATTTTTGACTTAAATCCCGAGCTTTTATATAAATGAGATTTGTTTTGATCGACATCTTTCTCTTCACTGTTTTACCTTAGAAGCGCATTTATTATATTGATTTTTATTTACTCGAGAAATTATTTTCTTTTTTTTGTTTATTTGAAAATTCTTTTTTTTTACAATTTACAAATTTTTACAAATTAATAAACTTTCACAGTCAAATTAATTAACAAAATTTTGTAAAAAATTCTATATTATGTTTATTGTTATAATAATAATAATATTATTATTATTATTATTATTATTATTATTATTATTATTATTATTATTAATATTAATATTTTTAGTGAATAAATTTATTATTACCATTTTTCTAATAAAAATATTAAATAATATTTTACAGATATCTTCTTTTACTGGGCAGTCGCAATTACCGATGAATGATAAATTTTTGAAAATTGGAGCTGAATAATGTTTTTATACAATCTTCAAGATCAAAATCAAAAATATTTTCCTGCTTTTTTTTAAAGGAAGGTAATAGAAATTTTTTAAAAATTAAAATTGTCAATTTAATTAATTTAATATTAAATATAATATTTTCTCTTAGCATTATATTTAATTCATTACTGTTAAAAGAAAACAAATTTTTTTTTTTTGAAAAAAAGAATTGAAAAAAGTAATTAAAATTCAAAATTTCGAAAATTTGGTAGTTTTTATGATTTTTTTTTTTTTTATTTTGAATAACGAAAATTCATTAAATGTAAAAAATTTGTGAATAGAAAATTAAAAATGGATTTTTATGAAAATAATTAAATTAAATTTACAATTCTCTTTTTTTCAATTAGAAAAATAATTGAAGAGTAGATTTTGTAGTCGATTTTGCGCAGGATACAGGACGAGAATTAGATTCATGCTACTTTCGTTGCAACATACAACCTTGATCCGGAAATATGCTTCGCGTTTGAGGCAATTAAATGCATTAGTCTTCAGTTCTCTACTGTTGCTTTGATTAAAGTTCGTAACATTCATCAAAGCCTTCGAAACTGTGTTTCAATTTTATCAGAAAGTTACACTTTTATTTAGAAAAATCAATTTAAAAGCTACGGTTTTATTTTTCTAATTAAATCTTATTTAAAAAATTAAATTTTATTTTAAAAACTAAATCCTATATTTTAAAAACTAAATCCTATATTTGAAAAATTAAATCTTATTTTAAAAATTAAATCCTATTTAAAAAACTAAATCCTATTTGAAAAATAAAATCGTATTCAAAAAAAAATTAAATCTTATTTTAAAAAATAGCGGAAATGATAAACAAAATTAATTTTATTATCATATTGATTGAATATTTAGAAATTAGAATAGTATAACTACTTTTAAAAATATATTAAAAATTATAAACAAGGTTTTTATTATTTAAAAATCTTTTTCGGGTAATATTAATACTTACAAAGAAAATAGTTATAAAATTAAAATTTATTATAATTTTATTATTAATCCATTATCATTGTTTGAATATTTAATAGTAACAATAACTATTGTATTAAATATAAATATATACATATAAATATAAATATAAATATAAATATAAATATTTTTATTTATAATGATAAAATTATTATTTATTTAAAAACATTTTTACATAAATTATTTAAATAAATATCATTAAATAACTTATTTAAGTAAATATTTTTAAATATTCAAATATTAATTTAATATATAATATTTTTTTTATTATCGATCAGAATTTTCATTTTATTTTATAATATTATTTCTTTATAATACATATGGGCCATTAAAAAGAAATTACCCTTAAAATAAAAAAAATATATATTTATATTTTATTTAAATTTTTATTATTATATTATTATATTTTTCAATTATTCTTTGTACAACAATAGTATTAGGATTCAATAATTAATAAATATTTAATAATTAGAATCGTACACTGATAAAAAAAAAAAACAAAAAATTATTTGATTTAAATACTTAATTATTTGACTATTATCAAATAAATATTTACTTGAACCAAATAATTTATGAAACCAAATAATTTCATTAAATAAACTGTATTTGAACCAATAATTTCTGTATTTGAAATAAATATCATTTAATTGACTCAAATAATTATTTATTTGATAGAAATAATTATTTATTTGTATGAAATAAATATTTATTTAATGCAATTAAATATTTTTTAATAACAGTCAAGTAACCGATTATCTGAATCAAATAATTTTTTTTAGTGTATTATTTAATTTTTTTTCTAATAAAGTTTTTGAATTTTTCAGTTCAATTCCAAATAACAATAATGAAGAAAAGGAAGTTCGTAGACGAAGAAAAGCGGCCCCTGCTATTTTTTTATAATTTTTTTTTTTTAACTCTCGACCTCCGCAGAAGTGCAATCAAGAGGGAGGGATCTTCGGGAGTGGTCCAAAGAAGCAGAAAATGTTCATTACCTCAACGTGGGATTCACCGATCGGTAAGTCGTTTATTATTTACATATTATTTTTATTATTGTCATATAATTATTATTTCTATTATTATTATTGGTATTTTTACTATTATATTTTTATTATTATTATTATTTATTACTAATATTATTTTTTTTATTAATTTTTTTCTTTTTAATAATATTTTTTATTTTCATTTATTTTATTATTTGTTTTTTATTCTATTTCTTATTTTATTAATAATTATTCAACACTAATTAATCATTAAAAAGTATGAATTAATATTCTGATCGACTTGAAATTCTTTTTTAATTTACGAAAACTTGAATTCGAATTTAATGCGAGATATAGGATTATATATTATACGGAAACTGAGTTAGCCTTTTATTATTTTGACAATTGAACTAGCTTCATATTTGAACTGAGCTTGAGTTAGCATTTTATTATTCTGACAAATGAACGGGCATCTTATCAACGGGAGGCGTCGATATATTAAAATGTAAACTAAAAATCAAATTGTAAGTGAAAAATTATCAAAAATAATTCAGTAAAAAAAATTTACAATAGCGGCAATTTTATTCACTAAATAAAATAAGTGAATTTTTTCTTTCTTTTACTGTTTCTTAATTTTGACGAAACCAAAAAAAAAAAAAAAAAAAAAAAAAAAAAAAAAACATCAAAAAGAGACACCGGAAGTAAACAGGAAGTTGATGTTAAGGACACTAGACATACAGAGAGGTCGCACAATCTTTGCACTAAAATATATATGTATATATATGTTTATACATATATATGTATATGTATATATATACACATACAGAAAAAACTCAATTGCATTATACGAGAAATTCACCATAGATATAGGAAATATTATTCCAAAGGTATATGGTGTTTGTACCAAAGATATTTGGAACTAACACGTGGAAATCCTTCAAGTGTTCCCAGGATAACAGAATAATTACGAAAGTTATCCTTGAGAAATACTTTTGATCCTTATGGTCACCTGGTGTCTAAGGGTACGCGCTAGTTCAACTCGTTCTCAAATATTAAAAAGGACATTTTCCTTTCTAGTTTTCCGCGATAAATTATATAAATATATACATTTTCTATGTTTCGCGCGAAATTTCTATATATATAATTGTTAAATATTTTATATATATATACATAGAATCAACAAACAAGTGAATTAACAATATAATAAAATTATTATAACGGGAAATAATTGTTATTTGAAAGGTAATTGGGTCGGGGGATAATGATGTGAGTGGAGCATAAATTATTTCAAGGACTTCGAAATGAATTGGACGCTTTCGTATTAGGAGAGAATGAATTGTCGTGTCCTTTTTGAGCTTGCGCAAACTTTCACGCAAGGATAATAATAATTCTGCTTTCTCTTTTGCAATGGTTATAGAAAAATATCGATTATAATAGTTGAGAGAGAAAGAGAGAAATAAACTTAAATGTTTTTTCGTTCATATTTTTTATTTTATTTCTTTAAAAAAATTGATCTGGTTCTCTGATTTAGTTTTTATTATAAAAAAATGAAATTCGTTTTTAAAATTTAAGAATAATTTGTGAAATATTGTCATTTATTGTTGGATAAATATTAAATAATCTTTGAATATGGAATTCGTCAATGTCACGTCATTCGTCAAGTGAGTTACGCCAGAAGCATTCCCTACACCAGGAAGTCATAAATTGTAAAATAGCTTGGTTCGAATTTTATTGTCCGCTTTTACCTTTCCTTTCTAGAAGAAGAAATGGACTTTCCTTCTCATCAGGAGAACATATTGTATTAGAAGGGTGTAAAAGCTTGAATTCTTTTTCAAGTTGTTCACTAAGGGTAGAAAGCTTTGTAAATATATTTTTTTCAGAATTCATTTATGGAAATTATTTTTCTAATTGTTTTTGGAAATTTTTGTTCTTCATTTGAAATTTTGTATGAATCAAAGTTTAAGTGAAAAAGAAATTGTTTATTCAAATAAAAATATTCTTTTGGTTGATAAAATTTGCAGTGGCGAAGGTATTTTTTAGTCAGACAGTAGTATCACTCTTTTAGTAGTAGAAAAATCGTTTTGTGGTCAGACATAAATAATTTCAGTGAAAGGATAATATTCTCAAGTGGAAAAGACATTTTATAGTCAGACAAACGATTTTTTTTTATTTATTCAATCTCGAGAAAAAATTGGAGAAAAATTGAAAAAATTTTGCAGTTGAAAAGACATTTTCTAGTTAGACAAAATCGTAATTCTACAAAAAAAAAAATGGAATTAATCCTAATGGAAATGCAAATCGAAATTATTATCAAGGAAATAATAATCAAAATAAATACCAAGAAAATAATAAACAAGAAAATGAAAGGGTTAATAAACAAGAAAATTTTCAAAATAAAAAGAAATTACGTGATACTAATTTTAAAGGCAATAAATTTTCAAATAATAATTTTTATAAAAATAATTATCAAAACAAATTTTTCTTTAAAGAATGACATTTATAAAAAATTATAATTTATTAAATTTCAATAAGAACAGTACAAATTTTAGTAAATTTTTTATATTCATTTTAGGGAAAACGTGTCAAAATGTGAAATATTGATTATAAAAATACAAAATGTCAGAAAAGAATTT